CCTGAGAGTAGGAGCCATCTCAAAATTCCAATGGTAACTTAACTTTAGTGACTGAGCACAGTATAGCAACTGCTCCATACCATAGGTGACCACATGGACACCCAGGTCAAAGCTTCCTCATCCTCATCTTTTCATCCTTTCTCTTCCCAAAACATGTTTCCATGAGCCAACATGGTATAGTAAATCTCACTCCTGACACGAATTCTGGAGTGTTTTCTAATACCAAAAAATGACACTATCTACCTGGAGTTAGCATCAGATACCACAAGTTAAAGGGCTCAGTCTCATAGGGCTGCCCCCACTTCACATGCCAATCTCAAGTCCAGGCCTCATGGACTTCTGATTAGCCAGATCTAAATTAGAGATTCCTACAACCCCTCCTTGGGGTCAGTTATTTGCTAGAATGACTCACAGGACTCAGGAAAACACTTTACTTATGTTTACTGGATTATTATAAACTCAGGAACAGCCAGATGGAAGAAATACAAAGGGCAAGGTATGGGGTGGGAGGAAATGCTGTAGGGTTTCTATGTTCTTCCCAGGCATACCACAATCCTAGCACCTCAATATGTTCACCAACCCAGAAGATTTTTTGGCCCATTTTTAAAAATCAGTTTGTTTTTGTTGAATTTTAGAGTTCATTGTATATTTTAGATAACAGTCCTTTATCAGATATGTCTTTTACAAATATTTTCTCCCAATCTGTGACTTATCTTTCTCATTCTCTTCACATTGTCTTTTGCAGAACAGAAGTTTTTAATTTTAATGAAGTCTTTCATGCACTGTGTGTTTGGTGTTGTATCTATTAATAAAAAGTAATTGCCATACCCAAGGTCATCTAGGTTTTCTCCTATGTTATCTTCTAGAGGTTTTATATTTTTTCTGTTTTAGATTTAGGTCTATGATGTATTTTGAGTTAATTTTTGTGAAGGGAGTAAGGTCTATATCTAGATTCATTTTTTTTGCATATAGATATCTAGTTGTTATAGCAGTATTTTTTGAAAAGACACTTTGCTCTTTTGTCAAAGATAAGTTGACTGTATTTATGTGATTCTATTTCTGAGCCCTCTATTCTGTTTCATTGATATATTTCTTTATTCTTTCACCAATACCACACTGTCCTGATTACCGTGGCTTTATATTAAGTCTTGAAGTCAGATAGTGTCAGTTCTTCAATTTGTTCTCCTTCAATATTATGTTGGCTATCCTGGGTCTTTTGCCTGTACATATAAACTTTAGAATCAGTTTGTCAATATCCATGAAATATCTTACTGGGATTTTGATTGGTATTTTATTGAATCTATAGATCAAGTTAGGAAGAACTGACATCTTGACAGTATTGAGTCGCTCTATCCATTAACATGGGATACCCCTGTCTCTATTTATTTAGTTCTTCTTTGATTGCTTTCATTGGAGTTTTATAGTTTTCCCCATATAGGTCTTGTACATATTTTGTTAGATTTATACCTAAGTTTTTCATTGTGGGGGGGGTGCTAAGGTAAATCATTTTGTGTTTTTAATTTCAAATTCCACTTGTTCATTGTTGGTATATAGGAAAGCAATTGACTTTTGTATAACTTTGTATCCTGCAACCTTGTTATAGTCACTTATTAGTTGCAGAAGATTTTTATTTTGTCAATTCTTTTGGATTTTTTATATAAATGAATACATCGTCTGTGAATAAAAACAGTTTTATTTCTTCTTCCCAATTGGTATACCTCTTCTTTCCTTTTCTTATCACATTAGCTAGGTGACTTAGTCCATTCAGGTTGCTATAAAAATACCATACATTTGGTGGCTTATAAGCAACATAAATTTATTTCTCATGGTTCTAAAGACTGGGAAGTCCAAGATCAATGTGCCAGCAGATTTGGTATCTGGTGAGGGCCTGCTTCCTCATAGGTGGCTATCTTCTTATTGTAACCTCACATGGCAAAGGGGCTAGGGTTCTCCCTCAGAACTCTTTTATAAGAGCACTAATCCTATTCATGAGGCCTCCACTCTTATTACCTAATCATCTCACAAAGCCCCCATCTCCTAATACCATCACCTTGGGGGTTAGGATTTCAACATATGAATTTGGGAGCCACACAAACATTCAGACCATAGCACTATGACTTTCAGTACAATATTGAAAAGGAGTGTTAAGAGGGGACATCTTTGCCTTGTTTTTGATCTTAATGAGAAAGCTTTTAGTTTCTTACCATTAAATATGATATTATTTTTTATTTTATTTTATTTTATTTTTTGAGACAGGATCTTGCTCTTGCTCAGGCTGGTCTTCAACTCCTAACCTCAAGAGATCCTCTCGCCTCAGCCTGCCAGAGTGCTAGGACTGTAGACGTGAGCCACCAGGCCTGGCCTAAATCTGATGTTAGGTGTAGGTTTTTTGTAGATATTCTTTATCAAATTGAAGAAGTACTCCTCTATTCCTAGTTTACTTAGAGTTTTTATCATGGGTCTTGGATTTTGTCAAATGCCTGTTCTGCATCTATTAATGGATCACGTGATTTTTCTTGTTTAGCCTGATGATGTGATGGATTACATTAACTGATTTTCAAATGTTGAAACACCCTTGCATATCTGGGATAAATCCCACTTGGTTGTGACTTTTTATACATTCTTGGATTCAATTTGCTAATATTGTGTTGAGGATTTTTGTACCATATTTGTGAGACATATTGATCTGTAGTTTTCTTTTATAATATCTGTCTGGTTTTGGCATTAGGGTAATGCTAGCCTCATAGAATAAGTTAGGAAGTATTCCTTCTGCTTCTATCTTCTGGAAAAGATTGTAGGGAATTGGTATAATTTCTTGCAATATATTATGGCTATCATTTTGTCTTTCTTTTTTATTGCTATCATTTTGAATAAATTGTTATCTGTTAGAGCAAGTAAGCATAAGAAAAAGAAAAGTTTTAGTTTACCTTCACTTATTCTTTCTTTGATGCTCTTCCTGTCTTTATTTAGATCTGAGTTTCTAACCTATATTATTTTCCTTCTCTCTAGAGAACTTCTTTTAACATTTCTAGTAAGGCAGGTATACTGGCAACAAATTTTCTCAATTTTTGTTTATCTGAGGAAGCCTTTATTTTTCTTCATTTTTGAAGGATAATTTCACAGGATACAGAACTTTAGGTTGGTGGGTTTCTCTTTCAATATTTAAATAATTCACCCCATTCACTTCTTGCTCATGTGGTTTCAGAGAAGTGGAATGTAATTCTTATTTTTGTTCCTCTATAGGTCAGATGTTTTCTTCCTCTGGGTTTTTTCAGAATTTGTTCTATATATTTTATTTTCTGTAGTTTGAAAATGATATACCTAGGTGTAGTTTTTTGGCTTTTATCCTGGTTGGTGTTCTCTGAGCTTCCTGGATCTGTGATTTGGTATATGACATAACCCCTCCCCAACCACCCCATCATTTAGGCTCTGATAATACCCTAGAAGGTCAGGCTCTAGTTAAGTAGTTTCTACTGGGGCAGGCCTTGTTAAGAATAGAGTGCTCTGGCATATTTCAAAATGGTTTCTTTTCTCTCCCTCTGTCAGAAGCATGAAAGAATTTTTCTCCAATATTCACAGTGAAAACCTAGCTGACCTTCTGTAGGTAAAACTCACAAAACTGTGGAGGCCCCTCTATGACTGGGTCCACCCTGGAGTTTTCAACTCTGAGACTTGTTTACACTGAAACTCTAGCAATTTGTCATTTATGTTTCAGGTTTTCCCCCTCTGACACTGGTTCCCATGGTGATTTCCACTCTTGAGTCTCTGTTCTAGTAAGCCATGACTCCTTGTATTTGTCTGTCTATCTCTCTACTCTTTGTGGCAGTGGTGGTTTGCCCTGTTTCCTCACCCCTCTTATGGATCCATGAAGAGTTGTTGATTTTTCAGTCTGTTCAGCTTTTTACTTGTTGTTAGGAGAGAGTGGCAACTTCCAAGTTCCTCACATGCAGAACTGGAAACCAGAAGTCTTCTGTTAAAATATGTATACTTCTTAAAGAAGCTTGACAGAGAGTTGAGAGACCTGGATAGTAATCTTGACATTGTCACTTACTATATTACCTTGGACAAATCATCCCCCAACCCTATGTCTGTTTACTCATCTGTAAAATGAGGGGTCTGTACTAGTGAAGTGATTTTTAAAATTGCATTCCTCAGAACCCTGGGAAGTTTGTGCTACTGCCTCAGGGACTTCCAAGAAGGTGAAACTTCAGGCCTCCACCCCACCCCTTGTTCAACTAGAGCAGCTCCACTTTTATCTTTTCTTACATATTATACTTTTATACAATTTTATTTGAAACAAGGATTCTAATTGTTCCCCTTCAAAAAAAAGCTTATACATCACAGAAATCACTACCTGGTCTCAAATTCTATGACCCTGTAATGTAAAATCTTACCAGTCACTGAAATTGAAATCCTTTGCTGAGAGTCGGTTCAGAAGTAGAAGAGAGAAAAAACATGAGGGCACTGGAGATGAGTAACTGTGTCCTATAGAGGAGGGAAAGGGTGTTGAAAGATAGATTGGAGTCCTGAACAACAAATTTTACAATTTTGCATATTTTTACTCAAGTTCTCAGGCATAAATAGGTGTTTTTTGTTTTTTTTTTGAGACACAGTCTCACTGTGTTGCCCAGGCTAGAGTGCCATGGCATCAGCCTAGCTCACAGCAACCTCAATCTCCTGGGTTCAAGCGATCCTCCTGCCTCAGCCTCCCAAGTAGCTGGGACTACAGGCATGCGCCACCATGCCCGGCTAATTTTTTCTATATATTTTTAGTTGGCCAATTAATTTCTTTCTATTTTTAGTAGAGATGGGGTCTCGCTCTTGCTCAGGCTGGTTTTGAACTCCTGACCTTGAACGATCCTCCCACCTTGGCCTCCCAGAGTGCTAGGATGACAGGTGTGAGCCACCGTGCCTGGCCATAGGGTATCTTTTTATTATAGTTCTTTTCCATAGTAAATCTTGGAACAGTTGGAAAACACCCTTTTCTTCTTTTTTTCCAGAAAGAAAGAAATGGATAGACTTTTGACTTGCTTGAATATAGGTAAATATCTCCTTGATTATTTTCAATCCTTCATCTTGCCTCTATCCTCTGTTGAATTCTCTAAGTATACTTAGCACATTGACTCCAACCTTATGTTTGAGTTAAGCTTCATGCTCCTTATTAATGTTTGCCATGGGAGTTTATTTTGGTTTCTTCATCCACAAGCAGAGAAAAGTTTGTCATCACTAGCATTCATCTCTAAATGTGATTTCAACTCTATTTTTATTCCAGTTTATTTTAAGGACATTTCCCTTCCTCCCTCCCTTCCTTCTTTACTTTGTTCCTTCTATCCATCCATCCTTTTTTTCTAATTGCCACTTGAGTCTAACCTAGGAATTGAACAGGTGAAAAGGGTCAAGACAAATAAAAATGCTGTGGACCCTGCTGGTTTTTCATGCCCTCTGAATCAAATTCAGATTGTTTACTTTATTATTTTTAAGCTGTCCATCTGTCTACCCAAGTCTGTGTCATCTCCCCTATCTGCTAATGATTCCTCCTTGTCTACTTAATTCAAGCTAATCTCCTAGCTATATCTTTTTCCAACTCCATGCTTTCTTACATGATGCCCCTTTTGCCTCACAGGTCCTCCTATTTTTATTGCCCATGTACCTCTTTCCTTATGTCCAAAGCACATAATTTCAAATCTTAGAAACTCTATCCTATTTATTGCAGTAGTTCAATTTTATACCTCAAATACCTGTCAACAGGGTATTAAACATAGCAAAGTGGTTTAGGAGCCAAACATTTTCAAAAGATATAAACTTTGCTACTTGGCATTCTTATTTCTCAGAAGGCCATGGGGTATGTAATAAATGCTTCCTGATAATGATGGCATATCCTGGTTCTGTACTGAGTTTGTTGTGCGAGCTCAGTAAATATTATGCCAGTGTATTGATACTCCTCCAATTCTCAATCTCCAGTTCAGTCTTTTTAATGATTGTTTCTATTCTTTATTTCCTTACATGTAAATCATATCTTTCTACCTCAGGTGGTAAATGATTGCACTAATTAAAATTATAAATCTCTCCAAAGACGTGTTTGTTCCCCAAAGTTTGAGTTAACAGCTTCTTGGAGCTTGGTAATGCTTTTTTGTCATTTTAATTACTTTTGGTATACACCCACGTACACATACACAAAAAAATTTCTAAATTAAAACTCATGTGTGACTGTTTTTAAAGCAAGATTAACAACTTTGCTAGAGTATAACGTAACAACCTCAGTATCAAATTTTGCTGTTTGATGCAGCACTCCAGAAATTTGGTCAGCCTTTTGATGAAGAAACCTCAACTTTGGATTCAAGGACTGATGAAGCTCATTGGTTTAGAAAAATAGGTAAAAGACAATTCTGTGGCTATGGGAAACATTGTGGGGTGGTGGAATCAGAAAGATGTGGGTTCAAATTCTGGTTCTTTCATTTGTAGCTATGGGTACATAGATAACTTGCTTAATCTCAGTTTCATTATTTATAAAATGGAAATAATTATGTATACTTCATACAGTTATTAAGGGTTTTTAATGAAACAGTGTATGTACCTGACACATAGTAGGTACTCAATGAACATTAGTTTTTTTCCTTTTTCTATAGAAATGATTCTAAGATTAAAATGATGAATTGTAACTGCAAATCCCCAAGGTTATGCTCCAAAACTTGGTCTAAAATGCCTAATTTATTTCTAACTGTGATTCAACAAAAATAAATTATGCAACAATATAGTTAAATCTTACAAACATGAAGTTGAGCAAAACAAGCTAGACGTTGAAGAGTACATACTATATGATTCAATTTTTATGTAGTAAAAAAAATAGACGAAACCATATATGGAGTTAGAAGTCAGGATAGTGGTTACCCTTGAAGGAGGTTTGGACTTTAAAGTGGGGGAACTTCCGAGTCTCTAGTAGTAATCAAGATCTTCCTTGATCTGGGTGCTAGATACATGGATATGTTCACTTTGTGAAAATTCATCAAGCTGTACAATTATGAGTTATGTAATGTACTTAATGTAGGTTCCACTTCAATAAAATTATTTTAAAATTGTGGAGGCAGTTACTACAGTGACAAGTAAGCAAGAGCAATTAAGCATCAATGTCACAAAGTAGACTCATTCTACATGAAACTCTTCCTGCTTTATTGGTTTAGTGAGGCTTTAATCTAGAAGATAGGGAATAAATATGCAATCTGGCTTCTAAAGGACTTAAGCAAAAATTTAAAATAACAAACATTTAAAATATAGAATGGTTGGATGACTTTGATCTTTTCCAAGTTTGAAAAGGTATTTTCATACTTTTACTGCATTTTTATTTTGACTTTCAAAGGTGAAGATCATACTTAATATTGCCTAATGGGGGCTTCCACTCCTCTTTGGAAGATATGAATCTTTCTAGCAATTTTCCTCAATCCTTGATTCTAATGTACCCTATTCTCTGCTGAATTTTAACTTCCTTCACCACTCCTGGTTGGTGAGCTCCTTGGTGATCCTCATTTTTTAAATGGATTTGTGCCAACTAAGAATTCTTATCATATGTCCCCAATTTTTAAAAAATTCAGCAGCACCTCCATTGGTCATTGGTCTAGAATTGAAGATTAGAAGTGATAGGAGTCTCTAAATTTACCTGGAAAAATGCTCTCCACAAACCTAAAGTTAAGTTTTTAGCCGCTGAGAATCCCCTTATTAGTATATTAATATTAAAGATATAGGTAGTAGTGATTATAATGGTACAGACTAAATAGTAAATTTTCATAATTATATTATTTCGTGTTAACTTTCAGCTTGGAACTTGGCTGTACAATCTGACGATGACCCAGTGACAATGAGAGAGTTTTTCATACTTTCTTATAAGGTAAGTCTCTTCTCATAATTATGCCATGTATCAACCACAAGGATATGACCACTATGACTATAGTAAAGGGATAAATATACACTGGGATTGGCTCTTATTCTAGGCACTTTTAATATATGTTTAAACAGGAATGACATAGGAGAATTTGTTCCCTGTAGGGTATAATAAACACCCATGATAGAACCTAAAGTTCTACCATTAGAGACTTATTCCTTTGCCTTTGAAGGAATTTCAGTCTCCCATCGTCCTATATTAAAATGTAAGTATCTTTAGGAGTGGAATATCTGAGCAGTTGTCAATTACCAACACTTTAGGAAGGGTTTGGGAAATAAGTCTGTAGTCTGAATATAGAATAAGGATCTGGGGACAGCAGGGGATAAAAAAGGAGATAAGAAGCTTGTGCCACCTTTAAAACTTTTTCTAGAGCAAGTTTTGCGTGTAATTTGTAAGTTTGTTATTCAATTATAAGCATTTTTATTTTATTTATTTATTTATTTATTTTTTTGAGACAGAGTCTTACTCTGTTGCCCGGGCTAGAGTGCTGTGGCGTCAGCCTAGCTCACAGCAACCTCCAACTCCTGGGCTCAAGCCATCCTCCTGCCTTAGCCTCCTGAGTAGCTGGGGCTACAGGCATGCACCACCATGCCCAGCTAATTGTTTCTATATATTTTTAGTTGGCCAATTAATTTCTTTCTATTTTTAGTAGAGACGGGGTCTTGCTCTTGCTCAGGCTGGTTTTGAACTCCTGACCTTGAGCGATCCTCCTGCCTTGGCCTCCGAGAGTGCTAGGATTACTGAGCCACCGTGCCCAGCCTATAAGCATTTGTATATAGTCACTAGCATCCAAGGTAGAGGTTAAATGCCAGAAAGTGGACCAAGCATTGATGGATTAAAGAATATCCCTGATACACTACAGGAGTACACAGTACGCTATGGTGAGGTCAATTAAATGTTAAGAATTTTAATGCTGGAAGAAATGTAGAGATAATCTAGCACAACTCCCTCATCTCACAAAGGAATAACTTAGACCTAAAGAGACTGGTTGTCTTGAAATGCTATTAATTCAATGATGGTGATGATTATGATCACTACATGTTTGGAGAGGTCAAGAAATAGTCTTTGCAAGATTAAGTGTAATTACCACTTTAATTAGGTGAAATAAATTAGTTTTAGTTTTGACATTTGTGATAACACTTTTAGGACTGGCATGTAAGAATCCAAGTGGCCTAGAGTTTTATTATAATGGTTGGGAGTTTTTGCTAAAACTAGAGGACAAGGTTAATGATGAGGTTATGCATAATGCCTGTCAAGATTTGTCTCTTTCAGACAAATGTTGAAGAAAATGTCTCTTTCAACCATGACAATATATGTACTAATTTTGGCTCTATTCAGTACATAAGAGAAATCTATTTGCCAAGGGAAAAATTGCTTAGAAATTACAGCATAAACCAAGAAGTAAATCACTAGATAGAAATACAGGGGCAAATGATAGTATTTGTCACTGGGAAAGATAGGAAAACTATGAAGAAATGAAGCCTTTTATCTCCAGGAAGGTACTAAAAACAATGGAAAGTAATATAAAATTAAAACTGTAAATCAGTGTTATAGTCTATATCATTTCTGTGGTGACATGTGCTTTTCCAGCTGAATTTTCTCATTCAGACAGGATGTTGCTAATTTTCATTTTGATTGTTTGTGTTCACCTGGCAGAATTCTCACTATTCACTGATGTTCTGGTTGTTTCTTATCAGCTGTCCCAGTTTTGTCCTTCTGATCAAGTAATTCTGATTGCACAGAAAACATGTTTACTTATGGCAGCTGCAGTTGATCTAGAGCAAGGGAGAAAAGCTTCAACAACGTTTGAACAGGTAATGTGCAACCTTCAAAGAAAAAACAAGAGTTCAGTGCACTATTTGATATGTTTGCCTTCCCTGATGTAGTTCTTTTTTATTCTCTCTAAATACTTTCTTCCATTCCAGCAGCACCTTGATTTCAAAGGTTTGTAATGGCTAATTACTTCCTAAGGAAAGGTTATATTTGGCTTGACCTCTTCTTTTAAGAAGATTGAATATCTCTTCTTTTAAAATGCCCCTTTCTGTGGACCACTCTTTCCAAATATATTTTTAAATGTTTTTTATCTTCATTGTCTCCCTGTGATTACATATGGTCCATTGGAGTGTTTCCCCTACTTTTGTTTCTTTGTACACGTCTTCCAAGGAAGAATTCATCTATTTCCAGAACTTTGTAGCTATCCAAAATTATTTACTTAGCTTGTTTTTTCAATCAATTGCATTTGCTTTCTTTGTCTCACAGCCTTTAATATCTCATCATTAACTCAATTTCGCCAAGACAGAATTACTTACCTTGCCTGAATTCCCCTGTCATATTCTTAAATATTACCCCTTTAGGAGCTGGCAATATCACAGTCTCCTATACACTAGATTATTGGTTTGCCTTTATCTCTTTACCTTCTTTCTCTCAAACTAAGAAAATTGTCTCCAAGTTAGACCAATAGCCTTTTTGTGTGTGATTTTTAAGATCTAGGTCCTCTCTCTACTTGATTTATCTGGACAAAGAGAACTTCCTAATTGCCCATATTTGTCAGCTTCTCTTCTCTCCAATCCATGTAAATAAAATCTTTCTATTTATTCTTCTCCTGTTAATCTCTTCTTTTTTATTTTATTTATTTGTTTTTTATTTCAGCATATTACGGGGGTACAAACACTTTGGTTACATAAATTGCCTTTACACTGTCTAAGTCAGATCTACAAGTGTGCCCATCCCCCAGAGAGTGAATCTCTTATTTTATATTATTCTTTAGATCTGAAACAAACTCTAACCAGATCTCTGCCAGTGTATTTCCCTTCCTTTCCCTTCCCTTGTTGAGTTCAGCTCAAGAAAACATTTCAGCACCCAAGCACTATGCTAGGTACTGGGGATACAGAGATAAAGAAGACAAAATCCTTGTTTATGAGAAGTAAAGTGCCCTCTCTTAAGAAGTCTTTCCATTTTAAAAGATGATAAAATAATCTACCTGTCCCAGAGCAAAACAAACAAGAAAACAATTCTGCTTCTTAACAGGTAAAGGTAAATGTAATTTAATTCTCAATAGGAACTTTTGATTTACTAAAAAATAGTAATAAATCTTGTTTTTATATAATGCTTTTAACTTTCTAAAAGTTCTTCCTTTTCAGTTTGTAGTCCTGAGTTTTTTAAATTTTTTTCTCTCAGTGAATAGAGATCAAATTGACATGAGGGAAATTTCATACACTCTTCAGGATAGTCCTTAATTATTTTCTTTGTTTCTAACAAATGTTCTTTTTTATTGTATGTTCTTTCCCTTGTATACATCTATGTTTCCTAGGAACTCTGTAACTTAGTAACCCTTCTATAATCTTTGCTTTAGAAAGGATGTCTATTTAGATAACTGAAAATATACTTCTGTCTTTCATCATCTAAATGTGTTTCCTATGGATCCAGGGGTCCTCAAACTTTTTAAACAGGGGGCCAGTTCACTGTCCCTAAGACCGCTGAAGAGTGTGACACACATTCCACACATGCGGACTGTGGGCCCAGGGTGAGTCGGCTGCTAAGCAGGACAGGTAGCAGTGGCAAAAACACCCAGCAGGACCGATAAATGTCCTCGGTGAGCCGCATGTTGGCCTGTGGGCCGTAGTTTGAGGATGCCTGGATTAGTCTGTGGTACTCTGTCTCTCTATAGCATACTTCTTGAATTCTATTATATATATATGCTCCCTCTTCTGTAAACCCTCATAAATTGGGATGTTTCCAAGTAAATAGGTGATGAAGGAATATAGATAGACTGCATACTCCTATCAACATTGTCTCTATTCTTCTCAGTATGAGTTAGGAGAAGTGAGGATACTTTAAAAACATATAGTAATTGTAACTTGTCAAGGAGCTATATCTTTTTCCTAGAATAAGGCTGGGTAAACTACTGCCAACTGGCCAAATCAGGCCCATGGCCTGTTTTTGTACAGCATGAGAGCTAAGAATAGTTTTTACATTTTTTGCATTTGTAAAAGGTTGTAATTAAAAATGAAAAATACATGAAAAAGAGCATATGTGACTGGCAAAGCCTAAAATATTTACTGTCTAGCCTTTTATAGAAAGGCTAGATCCCTGTCCTAGATTATTATTATTATTATTTATTTTTTTATTTTTATTTTTTTGAGACAGAGTCTCACTTTGTTGCCCAAGCTAGAGTGAGTGCCCTGGCATCAGCCTAGCTCACAGCAACCTCAAACTCCTGGGCTCAAGCAATCCTCCTGCCTCAGCCTCTCAAGTAGCTGGGACTACAGGCATGCACCACCGTGCCTGGCTAATTTTTTTCTATATATATTAGTTGGCCGATTAATTTCTTTCTATTTATAGCCTCACTCTTGCTCAGGCTAGTTTCGAACTCCTGACCTCAAGCAATCCGCCTGCCTTGGCCTCCCAGAGTGCTGGGATTACAGGCGTGAGCCACCGTGCCCGGCCCTAGATTATTTTTTAACAGACTTACTGAAGTATAATTCATAGGCGTATGAATTCACCCATTCAAATGTATAATTTAATGGTCTTTAAAATATTCACAGAATTGTGCAATTATCAATGCAATCTAATTTTAGAACATTTTCATCGCCATAAAAAGAAGCCCTTTACCCAATAGTAGTCACTCCTCATCTTTACCACCAGCACTAGGCAACCACTAACCTATTTTCTGTCTTTATAGATTTGCCTATTCTAGGTATTTCATATAAATGTCATCATAAAATTTATAGTCTTTTCTTATTGGCTCCTTTTATAAATCTTTAAATTATGTTTTCATGTTTCTTCATGTTTTAATGTGTATCAGTATTTCATTCCTTTTTATGACAATAATATTTCATTGTATGGATATACCACATTTTGTTTATCCATTCATTCATTCATGGGCATTTATGTTGTTTCCAATTTTCAGCTTTTATGAATAATGCTGTGATGAACATTCATGTACAAATTTTGTGTGGACGTTTTCATTTCTTTTGAGTATATACCTAAGAGTGGAATTGCTGAGTCATATGGTAACTGTGTTTAATCATTTGAAGAACTGCCAGAGTTTTCCAAAGTAGATGCACCATTTGACATTCCCACCAGCACTGAATGAGGGTTCTAATTTCTCTACTTCCTTATTACCACTTGTTATTAGGATTTTTGGATTATAGCCATCCTAGTCAGTATAAAGTGATATCTCATTATGGTTTTTTTTTAATCCCTGTCCTGAAATAATGTAATCTCATTATGGTTTTGATTTGTATTTCCCTAATGACTAATGAAGTCTAACATCTTTTCATGTGCTTATTGACCATTTGTGTATCTTATTTGGAAAATGTCTATTGAATTTTTTTTGCTCATTTTTAATTGGGCTATTTGTTTTTTTTTACCATGAGTTGTAATAATCCTTTAGATATTTTTGATATTAGACTCATCAAATATATGATTTGCGATTATTTTATCCCATTCTGTGGGTTGTCTTTTCCCTTTCTTGCTAGTACTCCTTGAAACATATTTTTAATTTTGATAATATCCATTTTATTTATTTTGTTGTTATTGCTTGTGCTTTTGGTATCATATCTAAGACCATTTCCTAATCCAAAGTCATAAAAGTTTACCTCTATGTTTTCTTCTAAGAGTTTTATATTTTCAGCTCTTATACTTAGGTCTATGAGCCATTTTGAGTTAATTTTGTGTGTGGTGTGAAATAAGAATCTGATTTTATTATTTTGCATTTGAATATCCATTTGTCATAGGAATACTGTTGAAGACTATTGTTTCTCATTGAATTATCTTGGCATCATTGTTGAAAATCAACTTACCATAATGAGATTTATTTCTAGAATTTCAATTTGATTCCATTGATGTCTATGCCTAACCTTATGACAATACCACGCTGTTTTAATTTTTATAGCCTTGTAGTAAGTTTTGAAATAGGAAGTTGTTAATCCTCTACCTTTGTTCTTATTTTTCTTTCTTTCTTTCTTTTTTTTCTTTTTTTCTGAGACAGAGTCTTGCTCTGTTGTGCCAGGTAGAGTACAATGGCATCATTGTAGCTCACTGCAACCTCAAACTCCTGAGTTCAACCAATCCTTTTTCCTCAGCCTCCTGAGTAGCTAGGACTACAGGCATGCACCACCATGCCTGGCCTTATTTTTCAAGACTGTTTTGGCTACTCTGGGTCCCTTGAATTTCCATGTTAACATTAGGATCAATCTATTGATTTCTGCACAAAAGCCAGCTGTGATTTTGATAGGGGTTATATTGAACTGTTTATCAGTTTGAGTAGTATTGTGATCTTAATAATATTAAGGCTTCTGATCCATGAATATGAGCTATCCTTCCATTTATTTAGGTTTTAATTTTTCAACAATGTTTCATAGTTTGCGGATTATAGATTTTTCACTTCTTTACTTTTTGTAGTTTATTTGGATTTTCTGTTTCCTCTTGAATCAATTTCAGTAGTTTTATCATTCTAGAAATTTATCCACTACATCTAATTTATCTAATTCATTGGCCTACAGTTTTTCATAGTATTCCCATATAATCCTTTTTTATTTCTGTAAGGTCAGTAGTGATGCCTCTTCTTTCCATCCTAATTTTGTGTCTTCTCTCTTTTTTTCTTGGTCAATATAGACAAAGGTTTGTCAATTTTGTTGATCTTTTTCAAGGACTAACTTTTTTTTCCTATTGTGTTTCTAGTCTCTATTTCATTAATTTCTACTCTGATATTTATTATTTTCTTCTCTTTGCTTGCTTAAGGTTTAATTTTCTTTTGCTTTTCCAATTTCTTAAAGTAGATCTTTAGGTTATTGATTTGAGATATCTCTTTTTTTA